CTTGATATTCTCTACTTGTTCTGATGTTAAGCGCACAAGCTCCGAAGAAGGAGTGGCACAAGCTAGAAAGTGATATTGTCTGATGTTAATAACACTAAGTTGCCCTGAGAGAGATTCTTGATCCTCTAACTGTTAATAAAAATGCAGTAATATGTAAATCTTGTTCCAAAAGGATACTGTACTGCTAACTGCCAGTAAAAATATTGTTTTCTTTAGACATGTTTTAGGTGCATTCTGTATGATGTTTCAAAGCGACAAGCAAAAGCAAATGACCTAGTTTGGCAGACACCCCTAAGCCACAAAAACTCTTGGGATATTTAAGTATGTTGGGCAAATATTTCACATCTATTTGTGCTTTAAATATGAGTCATTGCAGTTTTATGTGTCATTTCAGCTATTGGTTCATTGTTCTTAATTAAGTAAAGCTCTAAAGCACTACAGCAAACTCTTGTAACATTATTAGACTTAGCTTGCATTCTTAAGAACATAAGAGAAGCCAATGTTGGATCAGACCAATGGCCCATCCAGTCCAACACTCTGTCACACAGTGGCCAATAATACCAGGTGCCATCAGGAGGTCCACCAGTGGGGCCAGGACACTAGAAGCCCTCCCACTGTTGACCCCTCCCCCCAAGCACCAAGAAGACAGAGCATCACTTGCCCCAGAGTCTCTATCTATACCTTGTGGCTAATAGCTACCGATGGACCTCTGCTCCATATGCTTATCTAATTCCCTCTTGAAGCCATCCATGCTTGTAGCCGCCACGACCTCCTGTGGCAGTGAATTCCACGTGTTAATCACTCTTTGGGTGAAGAAGTACTTCCTTTTATCCATTCTAACCCGACCGCTCAGCAATTTCATTGAGTGCCCACGAGTTCTTGTATTGTGAGAAAGGGAAAAAAGTACCTCTTTCTCTACCTGCTCTATCCCATGCATAATCTTATAGACCTCAATCATATCACCCCTCAGCCATCGTTTCTCCAAGCTAAAGAGCCCCAATTGCTTTAACCTTTCTTCATAGGGAAAGTGTTCCAATGCTCTTATCATTGTAGTTGCCCTTTTCTGCACTTTCTCCAAAACTATAATATCCTTTTTGAGGTGTGGTGACCAGAACTGTACACAGTATTCCAAATGAGATTGCACCATTGATTTATATAGACGCATTATGATATTGGCTGATCTATTTTCAATTCCCTTCCTAATAATCCCCAGCATAGCATTGGCCTTTTTTAGCAGTCGCACAATGTCTCAACAATTTCAGTGAGTTATCTACTACGACTCCAATATATCTCTCTTGGTCAGTCTCTGCCAGTTTGGACCCCTTCAGCGTGTATTTATAGTTAGGATTTTTGGCCCCAATGTGCATCACCTTGCACTTGGCTACATTGAACCCCATTTGCCGCGTTGACGCCCACTCGCCCATCCTTGACAGATCCCTTTGGAGTGCCTCACAGTCCTCCCTGGTTTTCACCACCCTGAACAACTTTGTATCATCCGCAGATTTAGCCACTTCACTGCTTACTCCCGACTCCAAATCTTTAATGAACAAGTTAAAAAGCATCAGACGGAGTACTGATCCCTGCGGTACCCCACTGCTTACCACCCTCCACTGGGAAAATTTCCCATTTATACTCACTCTCTGTTTCCTATTAATTAGCCTGTTTTTGATCCACAAAAGGACTTGTCCTTTTATCCTGTGATTTTTGAGCTTACTTAGGAGCCTTTGATGAGGAACTTTATCAAACGCTTTCTGGAAGTCCAGGTAAGCAGTATCTATTGGGTCCCCCTTGTCCACATGTTTGTTCACCCCCTCAAAGAACACTAACAGGTTAGTGAGACAAGATCTTCCCTTACAGAACCCGTGCTGAGTCTACCTCAATAGTTTTTGTTCATCAATGTGCTTACTGATTATTTCCTTATTAACAGTTTCCACCAATTTACCTGGTATCAATGTCAGACTGACTGGCCTTTAATTTCCCGTATCTCCTATGGAACCCTTTTTAAAGATGGGACTGACATTAGCTACCTTCCAGTCCTCAGGAACGGAGGCAGATTTTAATGAAAGATTACACATTTTTGTCAGGAGATCCACAAGTTCACATTTGAGTTCTTTCAGAACTCTCGGATGTATTCCATTAGGGCCTGGTGATTTATCAGTTTTTAAGTTGTCTATCAGTTGTAGAACCTTCTCTCTCGTCGACTCAATCTGACTCAGGTTTTTCAACACCCCTCCCGAAATCAGTGGTTCTGGAGTGGGCAAGCACTTCTCATCCTCCACAGTGAAGATAGAGGCAAAAAATGCATTTAACTTCTCAGCCATTTCCCTATCATCCTTCAGGAGTCCTTTTACCCCATGGTCATCCAAGGGCCCCACTGCCTCCCTGACTGGTTTCCTGCTTCTAATGTATTTGAAGAAAGTTTTATTGTTGGTCTTTACGTATTTCGCTATATGCTCCTCATATTCCCTTTTTGCCTGCCTCATCACAGACTTACATTTTATTTGCCACAGCCTGTGTTCCCTTTTATCAGCCTCACTGAGACTAGCTTTCCACAGCTTAAAGGAATTCTTTTTACCTTTTACAGTTTCCATTACTTTGTTTGTTAACCATGCAGGCTTTTTTCTATACCCATTTGTGCCTTTCCTAACCTGCGGTATATATTTTTTTCTGAGCTTCTATGATCGTAGTTTTAAATAGCTTCCAAGCTTCCCCAATGGTTTTGACCCTTTCTACTTTTTCTTTCAGTTTCCTCCTCATATGTCCCGTCATATCAGAGAAGTTACCCCTTTTAAAGTTCAAAGTGGTTGCATCAGTCTTTTTGGCCAGTTCCTTATTTATACAAATGTTGAACTCAATAACATTATGGTCACTGTTCCCAAGTGGTGCAATCACTTTTACATCTCTCACCAGGTCTTGGCCATTACTTAGGACCAAATCCAGGATCGCCTCTCCCCTGGTAGGTTCTGTGGCCATCTGCTCCATAGCACAGTCATTGAGAGTGTCTAGAAACTCAATCTCTTTTTCCCGACTAGAACACATATTGACCCAATCAATGTGTGGGTAGTTAAAGTCACCTATTATGACACAGTTTTTTGTCTAGCCACTATCTTTAATTCATTCATCATTTTATAATCCTCCTCTATCTTTTGATCTGGTGAGCGATAACAAACTCCCACTGTTAAGTTTCTTTTTGGGCCCACTATTTCAACCCATAGCATTTCCAGAAGCGAATCCAATTCTCTTACCCTCTTAATCTTACTGGACTGTATACCCTCTCTGACATATGGAGCCATCCCACCTCCAACCCTTCCCCCCCCCTATCCTTTCGATATAATATATAACCGGGAATCACCGTATCCCACTGCAGTCAGTATGGTGTTGGCCTGGGGTATTTCAATGTGGTTTTGAGCCACATCTTTTTCGGTTCCATTGTGGGTTTGGTAAAACAAATGAGCGAATGATAGATGCGAATGGGCCAATGTCAACCCAGAGCTGTTCTTTCCAGGCTGTGGCGATACCAACCTAAATGGAAGGAAGTGTCTCTGCAAGCAGTCTAGATTGCATAACTTTACTGAGCCACAAAAGAAATCCCTTGCCACCATAGTACACATAATCATTATAATCCAGCTCTTCCACTGATGTCAACAATTTATCTAAGATTATATCAAGGAGGAATCTCAGTCATTTTATTTGAATTAGATCCTTGTTTTAAGAAACTTTTGAAAAGTATCAGATTTTCTGAAATGTGAACTGTATTTCTTTGATCAGTTTTTTAAATTATACTCACTGTATTTCCCATACCTAGATAATATTGTTTTAAAACTGAAATTGTACAGTTGCTAGACTAGAGCCCACCTTCAAAACATCCTTTAAGCATCAGGAATAGTATGCCATCTATTTGAATTATTGGATGGATTAAAGACCAGTATTTGTTTCACTAATTGTTTTGAAAGGAACATTGGTGCATTAGGACATAGTCCATATGATCATTGTATAGAGTCAAGAGTCAGCAAGCTAAAAAAAAGAGTCAGCAAGCTGAGGTTAGAGAACTGTTGATAGGCATCTAAAACCACAATTCGTGTTAAAGGACTAAAAATGGATTATTTTTTTCTGTTCAGGCTGGCAGCTGTGTGGTTTTCAGCAAGAGGTTAGATACAAATATTGCAATGTTTTTAAATGTTTGAAAAGTGTTTTTTTAGATGGCTTTACCATTTTCAGGTGTAAAAGGAATTAAATGAAAATGAAGGCTGCAATCGAACACATTACAGTGTGCTTAAGTCCCATTGATTTTAATTGTTTAATTGTTTCAGTTAAAGCCAGAAGAATGTAAGGCATGCTTAATTGTGTGTTGCATTTTTTCAGTGTTGCACAAATAATCTTTCCATGCTTTCTCATTCCCATTGTTTTTAATCTTAACACTTCTGTCTTTAATTTAACAAGTTCTGTCAGAAATGAATCCTCGAGATCTGAATTGCCCCTTATTCTGCATAATTTGTCTCTTAAGTAAAATGCAAGCCAAACTAACATGGATTTGTACTTATGTGGTGTCTTTAATCTTCATTTAAAACCAAAAATACTTTTTGTGGAGTTGGTGTGTAAAGTTTGTTTGAGAATGACTCTACAGGCCCTTAAGCTATGAGCACCTTCTCCCCTTCCCCATACTGAAAGGCCAGGTAAATATAGAGGGAAAAGAGCATGTCAGTCTGTCTCTTCTGTTGCCTCTCCCTCCAGTGAAAGAAAACTCTCTCTGAAATATGATCATTTTTACAATAAAGGTTGAAAAACAGTAGCAATAAATGAGAGAAGATAATTCCTTTGGAACCAGATCTTGATTAATTTGAAACTCTTTGCATTTTCTCCTGTTACACTTACTATGATTTCATGAGACCGGCTGCCAATGGTGGGTGGAGCATGCTGAGGACAACAAGAGAGATAGAGTGGCAGTTTTGTCAAGGAGCTCATCATTATGTTTTTTTCCTCCTTTCTCTTTTCTTTAACAGTGAATGGTGGCTACAATCACTGTAATTCAATATCCGAGAAGAACAACACGATGGACGTGGAGATGACAAATAGTGTGGGGCCTGTATGTAGACAGAACTTGCTTATACACTCAGGAAACTCGCTTACTCGAGACCACCCTTTGCCTTGTGAAAGACTGCTGCATGTTAGTCAGCTGAATTTATCTCACTCAGATACAAGGTATTGTTTTTCAGTTTTAATTGCCATGTCTGCATTATTTTTAAGCTAGTCACGCTTTTGAATATTTGTCTCTGAGTGTGGTCCACCTATTACAAATAGTTCTTATTCACTGACTTGGTGCTTGCTATAGATGCAACATTTTGAAGACCCCACTTTCAGTCCTTGTCAGTCAGAGAATCAGTAGATGTGCCAGATCTCAAGCTGAGAGACATTGCCAGTCAGAGTAGACAATAAAGCAGCTTCTTACGTGTTCATGTTTCATTCAGTACACAAGCATGCGTTTCTTCTATTTTTAAGTTCTAGAAACTAAAAGAAAACCTTTTCTTTTTCTTTCCTCTTGGACTGTGATGTTCTGTGCTGCCAGCTTTGGACCATAGCATACTTTCTTACAACTAAAATAAATTCAAAATTTCTCAGCCATAAAGGCAGCTTATTTTTTGCCAAGCATTCAACAGCCACATCCATATGTGGTGACTGGGTGAGGGGCGAAGAAGCAAATGCTAACCACCAATCTCTCTTTCTCTGCTATCTAATCTTCTGTGAAAGTATCAGGAAAATATTTTACATTGTGCCAGTGAGCTGAACAGGCCAGCTGATCTATACACGTGAAATACATGCTCTGTGAGTTTAATTTGCAGCCTCTTCAATTATGAGATCTCTTGGGACTGGAAAGGAGCTGTGCTCATAGAAATGGATATTTAGCAAGAGGCACTACATGGACCTGAGGTCTGGCTTGAACTCTTAGGGTGATTTCCCACAAGCGCTGCTCCGCGCTCACTCCTCCCTTTTGCCCCGATGGTACATGTCAATTTCACACAAGCTGCTGCGTGGCCGCATTTTACCCTGCAGCTTCGTGCGACTTCCCCCGCGTCTACTCAATCCTCAAAAAACAGGATTGAGTAGACGCGGGGAAAATCGCACGAAGCTGCGGGGCAAAATGCAGTCGCGCAGCAGCTTGTGTGAAATTGACACGTACCATCGGGCCAAAGAGAAGAGTGAGCGCGGAGCAGCGCTTGTGGGAAATCACCCTTAAAAAAGAGATGCTTCCAAACTATGGTAAGATAACATGCTGAATAATGCAGTTTCGATCCACTTCATCAATTATTTGCAAGTGGATTTTGCCATTTCACAGGGGGCGATTCTGCATTGGCTTTTCTCCCCATTGTTTTACGAAACCCACGGTGGAACAGAAATTCCCCCCTGCATTGCATGCCACTTTCACTTTCTTTGATCATCGGATTTTATGGTACCCTCCACATTGCATGCCACTTTCACTTTCTTTGATCATCAGGTTTTATGGTACCTTCTACATAGATTTATAGCCATTCAGGGGTGACTTTGCAGTCAGTACAGTGTTGCCCCCAAGGTATTTGAATGTGGTTTTGAGCTGCACCTTTTCCTCCCAGTTAAGAAAATGGGGAGCAAATGCTAGATGCAGAATCGCCCACAGTAAAATCTAGTTGCAAAGTATATCGAACGTGTTTTATTTAGTGTGTATGAAAGCATAGTCAGAGTATTTCTTCAGGTGGGTAGCTGTGTTGGTCTTAAGCAGCAGAACAAAGTTTGAGTCCAATGGCACTTTTAAGACCAACAAAGTTTTATTTAAGGTGTAAGCTTACTTGTGCAAGCACACTTCTTTAGACAAATTGAAACAAAAGTGAAGCTGAGACTGGATCAAGGATCAATGAATGTCAGTGAATTAGCACACAAATGCTCAGCTTCACTTATGCATCTTAACTCTGACTGGCCCTTCCTGACACCCCCCCCCCCCCATCTTCCTGTAGGTAAGGCTTGAAGAAATTTTGTTTCAATTCTTCAGATGAAGTGTGCTGGCACACAAAAGCTTACACTTTAAATAAAACTTTGTTGGTCTTAAAGGTGCCATTGGACTCATACTTTGGTCAGATTATTTATATTTGGTTCCTTAACAGCATTTACTATCCAGCCTACCAGTTAAGATTCTCCTTGCATGCTCTGTTCTCTGTGCTCTGCCTGCAGACCTGAGGAGTGCCCCCCCTTAAAGAACGCTCTCCCCCTTGAGGCTTGCCTGGTGCCCACCTTACTTGCCTTTCGGCACCAAGCCAAAATATTTATTTTTACCTGGGTTGTGGGGTTTTTAATCTTTTGAATTTGTTTTTACAGTCTACGTCTAGCCTGGGACTGTTTTATGGATATTGTTTTTCAGTTGCTTAATGTTTAATTCTGGTTTTATGCTGTGGCTGGGTTTTTATGGTTTATTAATTTTAATGCTGTCTTCTGTTTTACTTTATGAGCCACATCAAGAAGGTTTCTGGAGACGTAGCATACCCATTTTCTAAATAAAATAATTTGTATGGAGAACAAGAGGTATATGTTTATCATTGGCATATACTTTAAGGTGAAAACTAGATTTCTAATTTTGATACTTTATTATCTCAAGGGCAGTTCTCTGTTTAGTCCTTTTTATAACTTTTCAGAAAATGTGGATCTCAATTTTCATTCTAAATGTCACAAACTATTAACAATTCTTAACATGAGGTTTTCCTAAACAGATGGCAGTTGTTGAAAGAAACTTACTATTATTTACATATATAAATATAACCTTTTAAAATTACAGCTTTCTGAGAATCGGGTAAAGTATCCTTCAGAGTTACAGCTTTTTATATGGGATATTTTGATTAAATAATGTTTTCTCCCTGGAACTATTGAATCCAGCATAGGAAATGAATACTAACGTCATAAATATCTTGCTGTTTCTGATTTTGTTACATATGTTTGTCAACTCCATCTTGACCCTGTTATGAATCCACATGGTGCTTACTTCTAACAAGCTAGTTTTAGTCTGTCATTGAAGGCAATTATGATGCAAAGATAATTGGAGTGGGAGCAAACAAAAGGAGGGAAGAGAAGACTGCTTAGATCTTTTCAGGACCTTTTTGAAAAATCCATAATGAGGAAATGACAGATGCTTATATTCAGAGGATCATAGTACTCCCTTACGAAATATGAACTCCTTACAACTCTGTCTCAGGGAAGATTCCCAGAACAACACAGGATTATATGCCACAGAACATGTGTGTGTGTGTGTGAGAGAGAGAGAGAGAGAGAAAGACCCTGATCCTATTGTAATACAAAGCAACAGGTGACTGAGGGAATTCACTTCACTTTGAAACCTTGGCCTACATCTTGTAGGTTTTACCTCTTTGTCTGTAACTGTAGAGAACATAACAGTATTTCTCAGAGATTCCATGATTTGTTTGTTCTTACTTTTGGCATCTCATGTGCCAATGTTTTTAATACCTCTCACAATGAGGTGCCCCTATGTTGTTCTTATGTTTTAAAAGGTCGGGCCCAATCACTGGTTAACTTTGCAAACTCCTTGCCACTTAAATTGTCCCCTCCCCTCACTTCAGTTTACATTGGTGAGTAAGTAGAGCCTTTTGCAGATGTTATGATCCTGGTTGTGACTTCACATATGGAATGAATGTGCTACTCATGATTCTCCTGATACCTGTGATTGCCATTTCTTTTGAAACACATCCACCAGACACACATGTTCCAAACCTGGAGTATATATTGTTCCTTTCAGAAGAAATGGTGATTGCGTGAATTGGGAGGAATACATATAACATGCTTATTCCATACGTACAGTAAAAAAACACCCAACCAACCAACCAACCAAACAGCTGAACAGGACTTAAGGACTCGGTTAAATGCTGAATGGTAGTTGTTTGTAAATGGAACTTGCTTCCAAATATCTTGGTAGAATTTTTAATGTGTGTGTGTGTAGTGGAGTGTCTCAGTTAAATTGAAAACCAGGATGCTAGATATCTAGGCTTGAAATAGGCAGTCAATTTCAATTTTTTACTGGTTTACATGGTCTCTGATCCCTTCAGCTTAACTTTTGGAGACACCAATGTGGATTCCAGACCTCTCCTGAATTAAAAAAATTGGGCAACATTAACATGGTTCCTCGGGTAGTTCCCAGATTGCTACTACTTGCATGGTAGACTTCACTGATGTCTAGAGTAATGGTGACTAAAATAAATGCCATAGCAGTTTTTGGGTTCTCCTCTGCCACTGTGTTTGCGTGACAGCTTCATCTGGTTTACAGATGACCTGGAAGACAGATGGCTAACACAGCTGACTTTTGATATGTGCCCTGGTTGAAAGTTGCAGTACAGGTAGTTATCAAAAGACTGCGGGCGCGGTCACACAAGCAGTTTGGCGCAGCAGTATATTGACTCTAAATAAGCTGCTTGAGTTGGGAATGCTTTGTGTTGATTACACAGCAACTGCTAACCCGGAATTATAGTGCTGCGGATCCAAGATTGGTTGTTCACATCGGTAGATTCACTTTCCCATGCTTCCTTGCTCAAACACTGGGCTTTGTATGCGCATGTGCGCTTCCACGCAGGAGTGTCACAGGCAGCTGATGGGGCACTGAAGCGCACCTCAGACTGGGGTTGGAGGGAAAAAAATAAAGACACACAAGAAACAGAGAGGAACAATCAAACTGCTCCTGAGTTTCCATGGCCCATCAGGGATGTGCCTCGCTGAGGTAGCCATCGGAATTTACTGGTGGCTATTTAATCTGTGTGGGAGTCATTTTACCACGAGGTAGGCTCAAGTGGTTAAGACGCTGAACTGCAGGCTGTGGAAGATCAGTAGTTCAGCAGTTCGAGACCCGAGTTGCCGCATGACGGAGTGAGCTCCCATCTCTAGTTCCAGCTCCTGCCAGCTTAGCAGTTCAAAAGCAAGAAATTGCAAGTAGATAAATAGGTACCACTTCAGTCATGCCGGCCACATGACCATGGAAACGTCTTCGGGCAGTGCTGGTTCTTCGGCTTTGAAACGGAGATGAGCACCGCAACGCTAGAGTCGGACTCAACTGGCTTTCGAGCAAGGGAACTTTTACCTTTACCTTTAGGAACAGGATCCAGATGTGCACATTTGATCTCATCCATTTGGTCTAGAGGAGAGGGATGTCTATGTCAGGCCAAACTGCTGTGGTTACACCC